CATTATGTGTGTTATATTCATAAACTTACTGAACACACAGTTTATTTATTTCACCAAATTCACATCTTGTTCTCATGATATTCGTCAGGTTTCATTTTCAAACAGCCTGACACAGACACGAGCGCCTAACACTAGCGCCGCTCCTGGCCTCCCGTCCCATGGCGAACAGCCATACCTCGCAGCGAAAATAGAGACAACCCTTGGCGGGTGACAAGTGCCTCCCACACCGCGATTTGGTTGAAACTCGAATGCCGGCTGTTCCTTCGCTAGCCGCTTTTTCGACAAGTCACATAACCGACCTCCCATGAAGTTGACTTGCGACCCGCGACACCTCATTACCGAATTTTGGCCCATTGAAAAAATTTGGGCCCGCTGCTGTCGGATGCGACTGTCGTCACGTATCATCCCCCTGCTCTGACACCCACGTTCGAACAACACGCCCCTGCCCGCATTCTTCGAGCTTGGTGGCCGATAGATGGCCAACCCCTACCCCTCGCCGGCCTCGCATTTTGTGGGGTCCGGCGGGCAGGTCACGACTTTACAATATATATAATTTCAATTGTGTATTGCGAGTGAAATATGTGTGCAGGGTAGTGCATTTGGATATGTCTTCATGAGTTCCAGAATTCCTACATTTCTTCTACTACACTTTATTTTGAATAAAGGTAGAAATGTGCATTTCAATACCTATTTGATAAGTGTTCAGTACTATGTAATAGAACTGCATGGGTAAATGATCTTCAGATTTTATCGGAATGTACTGCTTACAAATAACTAACCCTCCACTCTTCCCGCGCCTAACAAAAGAAATCTCAAGAAAACGTACTAGAAAATGGGAGTTAAATTTAGTATCCAGAAGCAAAGCAAGAGCAATCTCAGCATATGCTCAAAGAATCAAGGAAAACGGACGAAAACCTGATCGAAATGGAGGTCATTGACCTTGAAAACATATCACAAAACTTGCTACCGATAGAGATTAAACTTTACAGTAAAATTCTTGTGTTTGGTAGCAAAGGAGTTAATATTTCAAGATTGTTTTTACATGATTGGTGACACTAAACTGTAGATCAGCATCTGCTACATTTTCTAAGATAGAATTTCTTGGTGCTGTTTTTGTGGCATCTTCCAAACTTGATTTGACACTTCAAAGATTTGAATGCCTCAGCCAGGAATGGAACTAAAATTTCCCGGTGTACACCCAGTTGCTCTAATCACTTGAGGTACCAAGATACTCAACTCTTCGACAGACTCTAGGAATTAAGAGCCCGTGAGATAGTTAAACACAATGTAAATAAGTGAAGCTTATTTACTGAAGTATAACTTACAGAGACTCTTAACTCCCTTACCCTCTAACATTAATGCAATTTATAACAACAATTGTCCCTGATGACTCCAAATTATTTTGGTTTTTCCTCAGAGAAAGAAGATGGTGGTCTCAGTTTTGTTGAACTCTCTGCATTTTCGAAAATTGCATTAGTTAGATTTGCTGCAAAAAAGGATGTGCTGCTGTAGCATCACTAGATGTTTTGCTGTATTAGATCAAAGTTCGCTTAATGATATGGCATATTTCTGTTTTTTGTGAAAACCTTGAGATTTGAAATATCAACACTGCAGAAATTCAATTTTCGACCTTCCCATAATTTGATTATTACATTTTTTTGTGCAATTTATTACTCAATATTCGACTTTAAAATCATTTCGTTTACTTTTTTAAAAATATAAGTAGTTTTCGTGTAATGTGAGAGAATTTGAGACAGTTTACCACAAATATATTAACAGATTTTTTAAAATATGGCCGCAAATTTTTGCATTAAACGTCTTGTAAAAATATGCAGTGAATTCTATGGCATAAGAGCCTTTTTCATTCAATAATTTGCATTTTCAAAAATCAAGCTTGTCTGGGAGGATTTTGTTCTCCTCTTGCTTTGTTTGATGAGGAACTTTTTCTTCAATTGGTTGAAGTATTTTGTTGGATACTACTTGAAGTATCCCTATTATATTACTACTACTACCGTTAATTCAAGAAAATATGTGTTGCTGAAGCACCCTTAGTATATTTTCAAAAGCTTAAATGTTTTAAACCTTCATTGAAATTTGATTTAATTGAAATTCCTGACTTCTAATGTGAGTAAAACTATTTTTTTTCCAAATTAGTTCTTGCTTCATAGTTATAAAAATTTTGTTGATTTCATTACCTTATGAAAAATACATTTTTCTATTTTGTTGTAGATTATCAATCTGCCACTAATTTTAATCCATTCCACATTATTATTGCGACAGTAAACCCTCGTTAGCACGACACGAATTTCGCCGTGATACGAACAAAACTTTGGTCCCGACAAGGAATTACGGTAATATGGACCTTTGTAAAAGGCGGATAACACAAACTCCGATCATTTCGGACCCTTGGGGTTCGTGTTAATGAGGGTTTACTGTATTATTATTATTTAAATAAATTACAAAATATTATTTCATTGCTCTTGAATTAATTTGAGATTGTTTCTGCATTGTAGATTGCTTGTCACATCTCTCCACCACATTACCTTTAGAAGAATTTTGTAAAGTCCTTCCTCCAGGAACGGAATCTTCTTACCAACAGTTCATACGAGTATGCCAACAAGTCAGTCATGCTAATCACATTTTGACCCTTATCATGGCAACTGGACAGCAACTATTGAGTACTCTTCATCTATGAGATGTTCATGTACTGTTCATGACTACCATGCTCTTATGTCAGTATCTGTGCACATTTGTATTTATATCAACTGAGAAATAAAATATTTGTTGGAAAACTGAAATAATTTTGTGGTTTGATGTATCTGTTTAGGTTTCCTCTCCTGTGAATTGAAATGATCCATGCCGTGTGTATACTATTATTTCCTGATGATACATTAGACATAAATGATGAAGAAATGTAATGACACACATTGTAGGCTAATAGTTGAATCAGCCGTGTTTTCTTATTTTCTCATATTCTGTTTTAATACAGATTCATTTAAGACGGTTATCGCAAAATATAATAAAAAAGTGGTGGATAGAGCTCCTACTTCATTCAAAAATATTTATTTAGAGCCAAGTGGCCTTTGTGACTCCTGCGAAACATAATAGGAACTCGTGTGGTGCATTTTATATAATTATGTGAATTGATTTCGTTTTTTTGCGTAAAATAATAGTAGTTTGCCGGTTCGGATGGCCGACATTGCTAAGGCAGTAGTACCGTAGCGATCGCGGGTTCGAGTCCCGCCTCGGGCATGATTGAATTGTGTTAGTCCTTTCACACCCCTATCACCATCATATCGTGTCATCCTCGGTAGTTCCCATACCGTTACACGCAATAGTGGTCGCTAATTACCTAGTAGTTGATGTGACCTTAAATAACAAAAAATAGTAGTTTATGCAATTAATTTATAATGTTAAGCGTTCTGCACGAGTACATGTTTTGAAAACGAGAGACGTTAGGTCATCGACCAGGCTTCTTCATTAACTGTACGCCGCACAGCCGCGTGGGTGTCACTTCGGTCGTTCGGCGACGCCCACGATCCGTCCCCAGGTCAGTCAAGTTAGTCTACTCATATCTCACATGGTGCACTGTTTAGGAAAATGTTTCTCAGGGAAAAATAAGTCTACAACAACCCTTGTTTTCATTTGAAAAACAAATTAATGTATTATTAAAAAGAAAACTAACACAAACGAATAGCGAATTCACTTCGTTTAGGCACATTAAATGACCATTTAGAGTGCACAGTATACCAGAATACCCTTTTTATTTTTAATCAAAGTTATTAATGCCTCAAATTTATATTTCTTATTCTATCTTAAGTTCAAAAAACGATTTGTTAATCTACGTTTTTATCCTTAATCTTAATCACGGCCCTCTATTGCGTTATAAACTCACAACGAATTCGCTTCTTGTTCATTTTAACTTTTCGCGTCATTGATCAATCTTATTAGTAGGTGGTTTATTTCAAACAGCAAAGCAAAGGTTGTATTCGACTATTCAGAGCTCACCTTACACACACCTCATATTCACTCTTACAAACTACAAATCACAAGTATAAAATTGCATTTGATCAAGAAACAATAAGCAATAAAAAGTGAAATATATAATAAAGCAGTCGAATTTTTTAAAATTGTGTTTTCTTTTCTTTCTGAACAAATCTATTCATTTCTTTCTTTGCAAGAACAACCGGAACGAAAAATGACATTTACAAATTATTCATGTTAAAGAATGGAGGGGGGTCAAATGGCTGACTTGAACCTGGAGGGGGTCCACCTATGCCTACAAATAAAGACCATTAAAACACCAGTAATGCCATCCTGTGATGGGAATACCCCATTTGGGTCAAAAGTCAGCAAGTCCCGCTCTCTCCTCCCCTGTATGCTCTCTAAGGCGAGAGCTTGGAGAACAGCTAATGAGAGCAGGGCGAGGACGAGTCTCCGGCGCCTGAAAACGGGAGCATTGAGATAAGGGAAGGAAATCCTGACAGAAAACCAACCTGCTGCCTTGCAGGGAGGTGAGGGATCTCCAAAGGCGTGGGGAGAAACTCCTGAAGGAAAATACGCATGCCTAGAGGCGAAAAGGGGCATCCCCACTGGGCAGAGTGAGGTAGGGCCTATTACCCACTCACTCTTACAGCGGATTCGGAGAACCTTAAACGGCCTCGGACAAGAAAGACAACTTAGACGACCGCGCAAGGAATTGGACATGAATGTAGGCAAATGGAATATTACATCAATAACAGGAGAAGAAGTGGAAATAGCACAAGAGATGGAAAAGTACAATTTAAAGATTTTGGGGGTTACTGAAGTTAAAAAAAGGGAGCAGGAGAGGTCAAATTGCATAAAGGGTATGTAATGAGATATAGCGGTGTGGATATTAAAAAAGGGCTATTGGGGGAGTAGGTATTATCGTGAACCCGAAAATTAATAATAGTCATTAATTTTGTACCGGTAAGTACAAAAATTATGAGAGTGGACATTCAATTAAAGGTAAGAGTGGCACTGGTGAGTATATATGCACCACCCGAAGGCAAAGATACAATAGAAAAGGAAATATTTTGTTCCGTACTTCAAAGAGTAATAGAAAAAACACGAGGGACACATGTGGTGATAATGAGAGACTGGAATGCTCGAATAGGATTGGATGTGCGGAAAGGAAGGGGTAGTATGGGGAAATATGGAGTGGAGAATTCAAGGAATGGTAATGGGTAGCAGATGCTGTAATGTTGTATAGGTAACCAATTGCTGATAGGAAATACGTGGTTTCCACGCAAGAAAATACACAAATACACCTTTGAAACAGGAAGAAACCAGATGATAGTTAAAAGTACGATCGATTACTTTATGTACACAGAGTCATTTTGATATGCAGTAATTAGGTTGTATAGAAGTGCGGAATTAAGCACGGAAGACCAATTGGTGATGAAAACACGTATCAAATATCCTCTTAGAGAACTGTTTAGGAAATATAGGCGCGCCGTCGTCACGACCCTGCTAGCCGGAAACGGCGAGATGGAGGCTCTCGCGGTTGAGCTCACTTCTCCCGGCGCCGTATCACCTCTTCCACCCTCGCCGCAGTGCCAAGGCGAAATCGCCGCCCTGCCACGACCCTGCCGCTGCCCATGCCGACCTCAAAGCCTCCAAACGCTTCAGGGTCTATAAAAGCTGCCAAGCGCGTCCCGCCTATCATGGTCGCGAACGCCACGGTGCTTTCTGACGGCGGCTTTCGCCGCTGGTTCGAATCCGCGACGCATGGCAGCAACCCTCGGTCACGGGCTAGCACTGCGGAGAATCCTGCTCGCTGCAAGCGCGGAACGCCACCGACCATATGAAGATAGCGACGCATTTCACGCACGCAAGTAAGAAGGAACGGGGCCTTAAACTCTACGAGAGCGTCCCCAAGTGTCAGTGGATGAAGTTGCTGGCGACATTATAGCGCAGTGCCTGGGGAAACTCAGGCCTGCAGTGCACCAGCTGAAGAGACGCCGAAACGGGAAATTAGAACCGGTATGTGCCTACTTCGTCAACCTCACCCCGGGTGACGTCGGCCAGTGCCTGTTTGCTATGAAGGCGATCTGTTTCTGCCAAGCGCACATAGAGGTCGCCAAACTGACTACGCACCTTTCTGCAAAAGGCGCTACCGCTGGTCGCACACGCGCACCTATTGCAAGATCAGCCCACGTTGCATTCACTGCGGCGAAGGTGATCTGACAAAAGATTGCAGCCACAACTATAAACCGGCTGTCTGCTGCAACTACGGAGCAAATCACTCTGCAAACTACGCCGGTTGCGAGGCTCACAAAGCTTTAGCTGTCACGAGCAAAAAGTTGAGCCAAAGCCACAAAAAACACAGCCTGCACGCAATGTAGATAAGAGCACTATCTTCGCGAGAGCGGCGCACTCACCACTACACCCACGCGCAGCAAAGGCGACGACTAACCGAAAAAGCTCCGAAAGGGCATTCAAGAGAGTGCCGCTCGACCTGACACCGCCGCGCCTAAGGCTCCTTCACACAATACGCCTGCTGCTATGTCGGAAACGGAGAAACTCCGTAAGTAGTTCTCTGAGCTGAAACAGAAGGTTACAAACCTCACTACTCTATTACAAACTTTCTGCGCTCAAGTGACAGTCCGCAATGGCTCAAGACCGAACGCAGGGAAACACCAGAACCCGCTCTCTTGCGGTAGCTGCCTGAAACGTCAACGGCGGTTCCGGTCACACGGACCCAGGAGATCGACGCATTATCGAGTTATTGTGTAATAGACATATCGATTTTTTTCATTGCATGAAATAAAACTCATTAGCGCCAACGACCTGGAGATAAATGACATGGCTATCTACCGCACCAACATCGATGCTCGCCATCGCGGAGGCGGTGCTAGCGGTTGCCGTACGTCGCTCGTTGCCCCATCGCCCAGCAGCTTTACCTCGCCTCGCGAGGCTTGAAGCTGATGCGTTTATGGTGAACACGACGAAAGGCGAAGTTGCATTGGTGTCAGCACACTTAGCACAAAATCATCCTCTCATAGATGACGATTTCAACACTGTCTTCACCCTAGCGCCTAGCACGGTCATGGTGAGCTGGACGCTAAGTGCGAGGAATGGGGCTGTAACACAACAAACAGCAACGGAAACTTACAGTTTCCTATTATTACGCAACACTGGTGCACTCATCCCGCCTTTCACACCTACCCGCTTCCCCTCTAACCCTCGCCTCCGACCCAAAATCCCCACGTGGCACTCCCATCAGGAAATATTCGAGTCACTACTCCCAAACCCATTCTCTTCTCCCTTTCAGAGCACATCCCCATTACGTTCGCAGTTGGTAGCATTCGCGCCTTCTGCGGCCCTAGACAGTGGGTCCCACAACACACTGACTGGGATGAGCTTTGCAATCAACTCGCAGCACTACACACACAAGCAAAAACCTCGTGGGCAATGGATTTACCAGAATCTATAGACGCGAGCTTTCAAACACTCACAAAACATACAAACAGCCCACAGAAATCCGGTTTTCTTGCGTTCGCCCGAAGAGAGCTCACATACACTTTCTCAAGATCAGCTACTGCGTGAAAAACGAAAAGCGAGGCAACTTTGGCAGCAGTTTAGGTGCCCTGCGCTTAGAACAGCTGCAGGAATCAAAAAACGCCCGACAACGCGTTCGCACAGCAGTGTGGGAAAAGCGGTTGAGAGAGATCGGTTCTGATCATTCTCGAAACGGCCGTTTCAATCTCCAAAAAGCGCTCAGGTCAGTACCTAATACCGCAACCGCCATAAGTGGCCACGACTATGCGGAGGG